CAATTTAGCCGGTTTGTCCAAAAAGTTCTGGCAACACTGCTTATGGACCATGTGCTCAAAGGACTGCATTGGAAAACATGTTTGGTGTATCTAGACGACATTATCGTATTGGGCAAAAGCTTTGAGGAACACCTGAACAATTTGGAAGAAGTTTTCCAGAGGATAGCAGGCGCTGGTCTGAAGCTAAGTCCTAAAAAGTGCTCACTGTTCAAAAAGGAGGGGAACTACTTAGGGCACAAGGTGACAACGGAGGGCGTCTGTACTGCGAAGGAAAAGATAGAGGCAGTAAAGGATTGGCCAATACCTAGGAACCTGCACGAACTTCCGCCGATTTGTTCCGAATTTCGCCAGCGTTGCTAATAGCCTCCACGAGCTCACTAGGAAAAATAGAGCCTTCGAGTGGAACAAAGAGCAGCAAACTCTGAAGGAACGACTATGTACTGCACCTATGCTAGCGTATCCCGTTCCAGGTGCAACGTTTATTTTGGATAAGGATGCTAGTGGTTATGCCATAGGGGGCGTACTGTCGCACGTAATTTATGGGCAGGAGAAGATAGTTGCCTACTATAGCCGGTCGATCGGAAAACCAGAGAGGAACTACCGCGTAACTCGGAGAGAACTACTAGCGTTGGTGGACTGTCAAACATTTCCACAAGTACCTCTATGGGCAACGTTTCCGAGTTCGAACGGACCATGCAGCGCTGAAGTGGCTACTACAGTTTAAGAATCCAGAAGGACAGCTAGCTCGGTGGATTGAGAGACTGCAAAGTTATGACTTCGCTATTGAGCACCGCAAGGGAAGTGTCCACGGTAATGATGATGCCATGTCCCGCCGACCATGTAACCTGGAATGTAAACACTGCTCAAAAGCTGAAGACAAAGAGGACAGTGTAGACGTCCGTCTAACGACAATAACACCAGCGGAAGAGTGGAAGGAAGAACAGCTACGAAAGTATCAGCAGGAAGCTAAAACCGTAGCGGAGGTATTTACCTACAATTGGGTTGCGAGATACGGCCTACCTATAGAGCTGCACTCTGACCAGGGAAAAAAATTTGAATCGGCGGTGTTCCAAGAGATGTGCCAGATACTGGGTATCCGGAAAACTCGAACGACGGCTCTTCATCCCCAATCAGATGGCATGGTGGAACGGTTCAACCGAACCCTGGAAGAGCATTTGCGGAAGGTCGTGGACAAGAATCAAAAAGATTGGAATGTCCGCATACCCTTGTTCCTGATGGGATACCGGTCAGCAGTGCATGAAACAACGGGTAAAACTCCTGCAAGGGTAATATTCGGCAGTGAGCTCCATTTGCCTAGTGATCTGAAGTTTGGGGTGACTGGTGATGCTAGAAGAACTGGAAAAGAGACGTCAAACATCCTGGAAGACGAGCTGAGAGAGATACATGCTCTTGTGGGACAGCGCACGCAAATTATGAGTGACAAGATGAAAGCCAGGTATGATAAGGCGATGAATTCCGAGGGTTTCCAGGAAGGAAGGAAGGAGATTTGGTGTTGCTGTACAATCCACAACGAAAGAAAGGTTTGTCCCCAAAACTATAATGCGACTGGGAAGGTCCGTATAAGGTCGTAAAACGGCTAAATGACGTAGTGTATCGGATCCAGGTCGTTGGGAGACCAAGAAACAAGATGAAGGTGGTCCACTTGGAAAGGCTTGCAGCGTTTGGAACCGCAAGTGTGTCTAATCGGGACGATCAGACTTAGGTGGAGGGCAGTGTGGCGAATACTGCGGCAACATTTAGCGAACAACGAGAAATAGGCAGAATGTTCGAGGAATGACGTAGAATGTTCCACAAAGAGAAACGTCAAGTTGGATGAACACTGCGAACAGCGAGAGAAAGAGAATGAGCGATGAACTTTAGAACGTTCGAGAGTTGCCATGCGTACGAGCGCAGGTATATAAGCGGAGTTGGACAGTTACAAGTCAGCAAGCTACAAGTAAAGTGAGCAGAGAAGTGAGTTGCGAATAAGCAAGCTATAAGTTTAATTGTGTTAACAAGTTTAGTAAAGCGTTGTTATTGCTTTAACAAGTATTGTGAAGTGTTTTACTGTATTAGCAAGTATTGTAAATTGTTTGTTGTACAATAAAGTTAATTGTACTAAAATTTGGTCATCGTTAGCATTTATTTAACAATCCAGCGATACGAGCCGCAAGATATTTGGGAAATCCCTCAAGGTTTCAAGGATAATCGTAACAATATTCATGCTTGTGAGCCACCCCTAAATAATGCTGAGCGCTCTCTGAGCACATCTGTGTTTCACATACGATAAGCGCCAGCTGAGCAATGCACACATACCCACTTATCACTGTTGCCAACTTGGCGCTTCTCGCACTAAATTGAGTGCTTTTCTTTATTCAAAACGCGAAAATTTTAGAGTTTAGTGCTTGGTGCGTTTTTTGGAGCTTTTGTTTTTAGTTCGAAGGCACCAAATCTGTAAATCTTAGGAAAAGGAGGGGCAAAATTTGTAGAAATCGTAAGTTTTTTAAGCAACTTTACAAAAATCTAAATAAAAACATGTCACAATGACAATCATAAACGGGTGAGCATATGTTTATCAACAATCATGTCAGAATTACATTCGTTAATTTGCCATTGCTGGGACCAGGGATCGCCTTTTAGACCTTTAGTTTGGCCCGAATTTGTTATTTTTTTTACGACCATTCAAAAAAGCAGTAGCATCTCCTAACAGTAAAATTAATATCTAACGAAACTTCTGAAAAAAGAGAATAAACAAAATCGGGTGGGATTTGAAGAGTATACAGCTTTTTTGACATAAAAATATTTTTGCCACTATGCGCCAGTGAATACGCTCAAATAAAAAATTTTAAAAAGAAAAAACAAGTTTCGTTATGTTTCAGGTGTTAAGCGGTCGAAAGAAAAAAATTTTATGTTCCTTTAGTTCACAAAATCATAAGGGACTGCTGTGTAGATTTAAACTACCACATAGTTAATGAAACTTCACTTCTGGTTATTGCTTTCGTTTGATTGGAATCGTAGAAAAAATTACGCCAAACGAAGAAAATTGTAATATTTAAACAGTTATGAAAAATTAATACATTTTGCTTACATCTAAGCGAAATGGCAACGCTGCAAATTAGAAAATAAGAACTAGAATCTTAACATCGCTTAACCGAAAATACTTGAATTTATAGAAAACAGAATAAATTCGACCGTCGAGCAAAAAACATTGATTTTTATTAATTTAGACCGGCATCCCAACAATACAATTTTTCATGCATATATATTCTATTAAATACTCTAATACAAATTTGGTGCTTTCTTCGAGAAAAAACGCGACTTTTCTTGGGTTTTAGTGCTTTTTCAAATTCAAAACTTGGCAACACTGCCTCTTATAGAATCGTTTAAATGCGCCCCTACAAGACATCTGCCGGTCATACGACTGGTCCTCTGACTGGGAGATCTGCAGCCTTTTGGGATCATATTTTGCGTCAGAATTGCAGGGATTTCTGAAAAATCTGAGAAGTTCTTTTGTGTACATGTGACCTTGCATCCCTTTTCATCATATGGCCTCGATTGATGTCAACTTAAGGTCTCTTTTTTACTGCCTTAAAATTGTGGGGAAATTTTACAGCGTTTTTTGAGTGTATTGGATTTTGTTTGAGTGTATTGAGAATCGGTCAGTCTAAAATGTCCTTTTCTTGTAGGGGCTAGTATGCCGACCATTGCATAAAACTGATTCAATGAATGAGACTTTGTGCGTGGAAATCATGCCTACAAGACATCTGTCGGTCATATGACTGGTCAACTGACTGGGAGATCTGCAGGCTTTTAGCATCATATTTCACGTCAGAATTGAAGGGTTATATGCAAAAGTTGACCGATTTCTTTGTGTACATGTGATTTTGCATCCTTTTTCAACATATAGGGTTCAGCCACTTCCAGAATATATGATGGCACTGCTCACTCCAAATACCTGCTCAAGTCAGTCTTGACGTACAAAGAAGGCAGATCTGATTCAACAGTACTGATAAAAAAAATTCGGCAGACCTGACTAGTCAGTACTGATATATTTATCAGGCAGATCTGATTGGTCAGTCCTGTTGTTAAAAACAGGTACATCTGATTGATCAATCCTGATGTATAAATGAGGCAGTGCTGATTGATCAGTGGTGATGTAAAAATCGGGCAGTAATGATTGTGCAGTCCTGATGTATACATAAGTCAAATCCGATTTAACAGGTCTGATGTATACATCAGTAAGAACTGATCAGTCATAACTGAAATAATATTACATCAGGTCTGATTAGTTAAATAATTGAGAAATACAAAATACGTTTTATATTTTTAGAATTTGTATATATTTATTAACCTTTCTTTTATAAAGTAAAAAATGTCGATAGTTTAATATACGTATAAATACATTTAAACATATTATATTTACTTCAGTCATTAAACCATTAAGTATAGATATAATACAAAAAAAAAATCAATGTAATTCATTACTTTTAGAATAGTTAATATCGGATTGCCAAATGAGGTTAAATCCAGCAATATGAATGAATTCAAAAAAAATTTAATTATTGTAGGAGCCTTCCAATTTAGTGATACATGGGCAATCTTCCGGTCTACCAATCGCAATGCACATACGTACAAAGTATACTGTTTCCCCACGCCAACATGGTTATTCCGCTCCCAAACGCATCCGTAAAGTAGCCGAAGCTCATCCCGAAACGCATCACTAGATCTAATTCAGTGCATCGCCGTTTGGATGCCTTAAACTCGAAGTTTAAAACTTTGTACGAAAAAAAAAAACAGAAATAGTAAATATGGTAATTTTTTTAAAGAATTTTGAGTGTACTTGCAAGTGGAATTAGTATAATTAAAAAAAAGCTTTACAGCTTTAGGCCATCGTTTTGTAGGATAGAGGGTATTCCTGGCTAGTATATTATTTCAGTATTTTATTTGAATGAACGGAAAAAAGCAACAATAAGAAAGTATTACGTCGACCGTAAAAATTGTTAAAGGTTTGGTTTTATAAAATTGTATTATAAACTAGATTTTAACTTTTGCATTCTGTTTCAACTTTTTCTCGTGGTATTTCTATTGCTTGAGTCGGTGATGACTCATTCCTACTGCTTTTCTCACTCCTCTTTCAAATTCTAAATTTCGTTTTTGTTTGAAGACGTCTAAATGAGTAAATGTGTAAAGGAATATTTACCAATAAATATTTGGAATGCAAACCTCGTAGATTGATGTCCCAATTAAAATGGTATAATGTTTCGTCAGAAAAAATCTTTTTGATCACACTACCAACATCATTTGATACTCTCTTTATTATTTAAAATCTTATCGCATGTCTCCCCTGTCATGCGGCACACAACCTTTTCTGTGTTTTGAGAGGACACTTTCACTTCTCTCAGCGTCTTATTTTGAGCCATTAGATCAGCTTTATGAGTACACTAGAAAATATATTAATTAACATATTATTATTTGTAATTATTATTAAATGAAAAAGGAACAAATTTGTTTAATTGGACAAGACATTGAAATCGGGAAAGTGGCTGCATATACATACATACATGTTATCAAAGCTCTATTACTTACATTTTGGTCATGTTCCTGAAACTTTAATCAAGTAACTGTTGGATGAGCTGATTGTTATTTGCTGTTATATATAAGAAGATAGTAAGCGAATTGTAATATAACAAATAAATTACAAGCATAATAAATATCTATCATGTTTTTCTGATTGATTAATATCGCGTCCATTTATTCGTTTTGCAACTCCAAAATCGCCTTAAATTTTTGTAAGAAATCTATAGTAATAATAGAATGGTAATTAGTAAAAAACAAAATAAACTATTTCTTAAATATAAAATACCACTGCTTGCCACGACAGCTTTTGGTCCCCTTTCCGCCTGGTTTAAGTGCGCTGCTTTGAAACACCTTTTCTTTATTTTGAATAAAATGTAAGAAACATTATAAATAATGTTATTTTATGTAAAAAAAACTTATCATCCGGGCTTGCATATGTTTGGGACTGGCGACCCTCTGCACTCGGTTCCATGTAAAATTATTATAATTGTTATTATTATTATTATTGTTATTATTATTATTGTTATTATTATTGTTGTTATTATTATTATTGCTATTATTATTAGTACTAGTATCGCCCAGTTGTCGAAATTACACATTTTTTCATACACTTTTAAATTTTGCTTATCACCAATATCCTCCCCCTTTATGCTAATGACGATTTTGAAGTCCCCCACCAAAATTTATAGGAAAACTTAAATCCAAATTTCTTAGTAGCTTTCGAAATTATACCGAGAAAGGAATCCCAATTTTCATTTACAAAAAATATGCATATGTACATATGTATTTGTATGTATAGATGAGATGCCTAACGGCTCTTCACTGACTATTATGTTAAACAAATACCAATCCATACTGTAAATAAATTTTTCGATTATATTGGTCTGAGAACCCCTTGGAACATAAAAACTAAATTGCCAACATCTGCATAAACTCCTCATCCTTTTCATCAGAATCGCTGGAGTTTAAGTACCTCGAAGGTGTAAAACAAAATATAATATTTCGTTCTCTAGCCGCGGTTTTACAGGTTTTTTGTCAAGATTGCGCCTAAAGCCCAATATTTTTGCATCACATGATTGAGTTACCGAATTGCACCAAATTTTATGTTGCTATTGTGTGTTCTAAAGATGAAGCAAATCTAACCATACATTTTAAGAATAGCTCTCAATTATAGATGGGTACCGAATATCGGGACCCACGGTACTGATTCAAGATGGGCGGTGTCGGGAAGGTCTGTAAAAATTTAACGCACGGAACTGGATCAAAATTCTTTCCCGATACTCCCGACAAAACCGCAAATTCAGAAAATCTTCCTTAAAAAATTTTTATAAAATATGCACTTTTTATATTTTATTGGGACGAAAACGAACAGCAAAGCAAAACAAAATACCTACCTTTTTACAAAAGCAAAATGAGTCTTTTCCTTTTTCGAAATTAATATCAAACTGGCCTAGTTTGGAAATATTTTCTGTATTAGCCGATAATCTGGTACGTTCATCTAAACGCAAAAATAGCTGCTGTAAAATTTTGTTGGGTTTTTTAATATCTTTTTAATTGTATATGGTTTTCAAACCTGTATGCTGAGAATGAGTCCAAAGGTCCAAACACATGCAGACAAATGGAGTAACCCGTGAATATTAAAACTAACTAATTCGTCACCGTATAAACTACCAAAATAGACAACAAAATCTTCCAGAATTTGTTGAGCGATGTTAGCCTCAACCTTAGATGACTTTTGCCTAGAAAGAAGCCGAATTCCGCAATGTAAAAGTAAAAAATGATAATATAAATCCATATTAATGCTATCCTTCAAGATAAATACTCCCGTGTAAAGCAAAAACTGCCTAAATTCAGACGACGTCCAATTATTTATTTCATCTAAGGTCCTAGATATACGCCCGAATTTAGAAGGAATGTAATTTGCAACTAAAGTTAGTTTTTCATTAATTTTTTTTATATCCTCCTTTTTTATAAGTAGCTTTAATAACTTTTTTACAGCGTCAAGGTCAACTAAATGCATGCTGTCAAGTGGAAATTGGGTAACCATATTAAAATTAAATGTTTCTAGTACACCTTTTTGCTCTCTGAACTGAAGGATGTGGTGCGCAGGATCAAGCCTGGCTTCAAAGGAAAAATCTGACCTGCTAATACCAACTTCTTTTGAAAAGCGAACCCTTTTCTCTCTATATGTACCTACCTGACAGCATTTGGGGCAGCCACTTTTTGCGTTAAAGGATATACAACCTGAAACAAATGCTCTAGCGGGTGAATCGCAAATAAATGCGCGAACGTCAAATTTTCTCATAATTTGATTACCACCAACCTTAATGCCATTTTCTCTCCGCGTTTGGACTTTTTCACAAAAATCGGACCAAAAATCATCTACATTCTCCGGCTTATTTAACCCAGAAAAACAGCTAATTACAGATGGACTGATATTAGGGAAATCTACTAGTCCTCCTAGAATGGGCCACAGAACTCTATTAGAACTGTTGAATAACTTCAGACCATCAATGCTTACGTCGATTAAAACTTCTTCCTGATTTTCCAAAAAATCAAATGAACTGAAAAGAAAATGCTTTTGAATGCCTATATACAAGAATTCTCCATTCGGTATAGTTCGAAGTGGAATTTTAGAACGGCTGGTATTCAAGAGAGTTTTCGCGGAAAGCGGAAAATAGGTCTAAAACGTTGTGAGCAGTTTTGTTTCTAATAGCCCAAGATCTCAGCTCCGCACTTTTATCTATGTCCGGAACCAAACTTTCCTCATCAGGAATCATAGCCGACTCTATGCATTGCTCAGTGCTGGATACACTTGGACCACTGGGCGCGATTTCACATGACCCTATCTTATTACTGTCAAAACTCGCTTCACTTAAAGCCGCATATTCTACGTCTACACCACGATGCAGCGAACAAAGGTGGCGCCGTCAGTGGTACCGCTACTTTGGTTTTGCCGATTTTGACAGTTGTGGTAACTTGTAAATAAACCTTTGTTTACAAATCAGCGAAAGAGAAATTTTAATTATAAGTGAAAAATCAGTTTAAATTGTGTTAATTTTCAATTTGTGAGTGATTTTTGAGTTGAGGACTGCGTAAAAACTAATACAATGAAGTGCTGTGTGTTAAATTGCGACAGCCGTCAAGGTGCAAGAAGCGTAGATGCCAGTGTAGCGCTGGGACGAATCGCTGCATTTTGTGTACATAGGGCACGGCAAAGCCGTTCCCGAAATGTTTCTCTATTATTATATTAACAGCATTTCCTCACAATGATTTTGTTTCTGCTCCACGCAGCCTCCATTAGCAAGTTATATAATCACTCCCGCAGAGATGCTGCTGCAGTTTTCTGCAGCAGCCTTAATTGCAAAGCAATGGAGTGCACTAAAATGTTCACTGTTCTCTAATTGATTAGGTGAAAAATGCAATATTTTCACATTTAGCAAAATTAAAACACGTTTTTCGCTGTAAAGTGAACTGCTTTGGCAGTTTCAACTCGTTCTTCTTTTCGCTCCATTCTTTGTTTACTTGTGGTAAACAAATGTCAACGCCCAGGACGGCGCAATCTTGTATTCTATCATTCTTGCGTCTACACTAGAAACTGTTTCAAAACTACTGGCGACGCTATTTAAAAAGTTTCCACTTGATACGCCACCGATAGCCACACACTTTCTTTCAGCCTCAAATTCCACCTCCTTTTTAAAATTTTCAATGTGAGATTAAACATCTTCTTTTCTTTATTAAGGCAATTATTAAAATGCCTTTTCATTTTGTACTTATTTTCTTTTTCTTTGATAAAAATAATTTATTATACGATTTATTATCCACCGTTTGCACGTTTTTCTTTTTTTATAATAATTTACCACTATTGATGTAATAAATGATAATGGAATTTCAGTAGTCGGTACTCACCACTGACTCAGAATTGAAAATTGAAAATTTTCCTGTACTTATCTGCAACGAAAGCAACTACTTTAATACTCAAGCGACTACTTTTACAGTACGAATAGTACTTTTCTTACCTAATTATATAGCACTAGTGTATTGCAAGGCGTGGCAACCTGGTTGAAAATGTTTAAGTCTATTTATGATATGGCAATCATGGCTGCATGAATGTGCTGTTTCTTTCTTACATATGGGATTTAAACTCATCACAAAAAGGTCTCTGTTTTACTGACTTAAAATTATGTGGGAATTTTAACAGCTGTTTGGGTTTTATATGAGTGCATTAGAGAATTGGTCAGTCCAAAATCTCCTTTTCTTGTAGGGATTGCTCCGCTACCGCTGTTCGTATATGGGTGAAACACGCGTGTGGTCACAGAGCGCTCAGTAAGCTATGGCATGTCGATCACTGCGCTAGGTAGAGAATGAAATGTGCTATGACATGCCCAGACTTGTTTGTCTCAGTTTCAGTTTTGCCATCGCAGCGAGTTGTTTCGGTGTGCGCATAGTTATTTAAAAATATAAAGTTTGATGCCAACCGGGGTTTCTCAGTTAGGGTTGCCAGATTTTGAAACGGAGAAAGGCGTACATTTATATTTTCGATAGAGTGAAAATTGTGATTTTTGGCGATTTTTTTAAGGGGTCCCTGGGACCCATAGGGTGCCTAGTTGGGGGTTGGAGGTACCACTCCCACTCCCCCTTCGCTCACCGCCTCTTCAATGACCGCCCTTAAAGGAAAGAATTCGACTCTTCCTGAATGTATGGCCATTTTTTTAATTTAAGCCTTATAAATAATTTAATATTTTTCCGATTTTTATATCCGAGCGCCCTGCACCTACCTTGCTACGGCCATGCTTATACTTTTTCACTATCACACCTAACTTTGCTTACTAAGTAGTGTTTGCCACAATATGAATGGCAAAGTACAGGGCGTAAAATCACGGTGTAATGAACTGAAGGTGACGCATTCCCGAAACCGCTAATTTGGTTTTGCCGACTTTGACGTTTATGGCAATACGTAAACAAACTTTTTGTTTATAAACAAGTGCAAACGTATTGCAAACGTATTGTGTACTTTCAAGTGAAAAATCGAAGTAATTCGTGCGTTCTGAAGTAAAAAACGTTTTATTTGTAATAAAAACTTTATAAAAATGTCTTGTCGTGTGTTGAATTGCAGCGGCCGTAGAGGCAAAGGCCGCGCGACGACGCCTTGACCAGAAAGTGGGTAGAGTTCTACCGGCAGGAGAAGCCATACAATTTAGACACCAGCGTAAGGAAAACATTGAAATACCACAAATTACAAATTAAATTCGGAGGTAAACAAGCATCGACCACTTTCTGCAGGAAAACATGCGCTGCGACAAGATATTATCACTTTTTCGGCACCTGCAATACTAACACGAAAATCCTAATAGTTAATTAATAATACCTATTCTTTTGAACACATTTCAAGAGTGGTTGTATATTTTTTGTTAACGTTGTGCTTAATTTGCCATATTCAAAGATGGCTTGAGAAATTGGTGAATCGTGAAGAAAACACGTTTTCTCACTGCAAATTCACAACTGTTGTTTACCCGTTGCCACAAATGTCATTCTGCGGGAATGCGCAATCTTGTATTCTATCGTTCTTGGGCGTAAAATAATAACTGTCGCACAGGTTTTTTGAAAAATAAAAGGGTTCTTTACAGATTTTGTTAAACAAAGTATTTTTTGTTAACTTTGTAAATATTTTACTTTTATTTTATTAATTAGTTTGAAAATTTTTAATCCTTATTTGCATTTGCCAGCTTTGGGAGATAAGTACATGCGGCACACCCCTTTTTTCAGGTGTATTTTTTCTTAGATTTTGTATAAAGAAAAAAACAAACTGTATAGGGTTGGTCGAATGAATTCCCTAGAAGTGGGAGGAAATTAGCCTATGGTTACAGAAGATATGTAATAAAGTAACCGACGAAGACTTGCGTGCCGCTTGCGTTTTTCTCCCAAACGACCTGGTAAACCCAAATGAGGGTTAAATTTAAAAACAGTATAATAACGACTTTTTTTACTTGCGCTTTTCTCTCAAAGTGTTTATCGCCGGTAAACCCAAATGAAGGTTAACATTTAAAAACAAATTAATAAAATTGAAGTAAAATCTGTGGATAATTAACAATGAACTACTTATTTCGCAAAATCTATAAAGGTTAATTTTATTTTTCAAAAAAACTGTGCAACAGTTTTTATTTTACACCCTGTATATGATAAAATATTAATAGCTGGAAAAAGGAGTACAAAAGAAGTACACAACTAATTAAAGAGTACATTTCCAGATATTTTTTTGGGAGTACATTGTAATAAAAAGGAGTGAGTTTACTCCCAAAAGCAGTACGTCTGGCAACCCTATTCTCAGTGAATATATAATTCATGTGAATTGTAATTTGAAAGTATCTATTTAGCCAAGGAAAAAGCAAAGCAGTATACTTAAACCAGCACTTCTAGCAGATATTGACCTGGATTTTCTTACGACTGTTCCTGTTTCATCGTTTCTTTATAGGAAGTTCTTACCACCATATACATATGTATTACTTGCACTAGTAGCAATTTATGTAAATATGTATGTATTTTTTATGCTTAACATATGCAAATAAAAGAAGAAAGTAAACACAACAACCATCGAGTAAATTTTTATTTGTGTCAAACTGAAACTTTTTTTCCAATAATAAACCGTTAGCTGATTCAAGTCTACAGCAACTGCACAAAACTAATTGAAAACTTGTGTCAACCAAAGCATTATTTATATTTGCTCAACAATGATTTTATTCAACTAACAATATTGTCCACTCAAGGTAGTCGTTTTGTAATTATTAACAAATATACATTTGTCCCAACTAGAAGTCTCAAGTAAATTGCAGACTTTCGTGAACTAGATATTTATTTCGCCATATCCAACTATGCCACTTGGTCATTACTTATAACCAAATCTTGGTAATTATAACTAAACCTTTTTCTGAGTGCATGTGATACTTATGCTTTTAATTTATAAGGTAATTTTATGTTTTTACACTCTTGCTACCACATGAATATAGGAATTTGTGATAAGAATATATGAATTCGCCTAAGATAGAAGATAGAAAGC